TAGTATTAAAATATATTAAAATTGTCCGTCAATCACAATAAAGTAATATAAGATAATTAAATGGTTAAAATATTATCTTTTGTTCCGTATCGAGTACTCGATTTACATATGGAACATTCTCGACATGTTTCGGCTTTCATAGAGCCGTCATCAGGTGTATGTTATAAACTCTTAATTCAATTACTAATTTTTAATTTTCTTATCATTTCTTCGTTTTTTCACATTGTATCAACATTTTGTTGTTGTGTTATATATCATTGATACAATCGTATTGTCGGAGTGATGTTAATGCTGCGTATATTGGTCTGTGAATTAAAGGATTCAAAACTATTAATGAAATTGAATATAGAAAACAAAATAAATAAATGAAAGTAAACATATAAACTTACCAGAGAAGTAATATCGAAGTTGTAAGAGGAGAGATCAGAAGTACATCGTATCGGATCGAGGTTGGTTATTGACTGCGGTGTTAGTGGGTGAAAGGTGAAAGGACAAATATTTCAGACTAAAGGATATTACGCTACGTCAGGTAGAATTAACCCCAAAGTTTTTCAAAGAACTGACGCCTACACCAGATTCTTTACCGGCGGAGACGCCATATTTGTCCTTCAGATGGCTTGTCATCGTCATTCAGAAATATACTTCCGCAGACTGGACATCTGCTCACTTGTGATGTGGCCATTGACAAATTATTATGGGCGTCCGAAAATATTCCATGCATTATTATTTTATTTATTTATTGAGTGTTCTGTGTGACGACAGATCCATTGTTCTGCCCAAAAAGAGTTCGCCAGTTTTCCCTATTCTCAGGTTCTCGTTTTAACTCCTGATATCATGCATACAGGACATTTAAGTTCCGACAGGAAATCTTGTATTATGGTCGCCATAATTTTATTGGCTCGCGGTCTGCAAAAGAGAGTTTGAAAACGTTGACACTGCACCAACTGGAAATTCTCTTGCAGAAAAGATGATTCACAGAAGAACTCTCTGAAAGTACGAAACAAAAATGTGTGAACAGAAAATTATTAATTTCTTGTACACACGTTTGATGACCTGTGTAGAAATCATGGCAGGTGGTCTCGGAAAACAACTCTAAGAAATAGTTGAAGCACTGGAAGCACTGTCGATCGCGGCACGTTGAATTGTCTTGATGCTTGGCGAATTGATTTTTGCTCGGGCTTCATTCAAACCCCGCTCGAATTT